ATTATATAATATGTGTGGAGGAGGAAAAGAAGTAAAAACTACAATAAAATTTGTTGCACTTAAGACGGTATTTATCCATATATAATGAAATAATATGCCAACAAAGTTAAAAAAAAAAGCAAGCTTCTTCCTATACTAAAGAGACCCTCCTCCCATGAAGTCGTGTGAAGGATTGGATGAGGTACAGCCCTCCTCAGACTTAACCTCGAACAGGAAGGGGACGAGTGGCAAAACTTAGGCTCTTTATGCATGCCCCTGGAATGCATGCCGTAAAATATCTTGTCGGAAAGCCTGGTTGTAAAGTTAACCTGAATGAAGGCAGTTGCGAAAATATGAATTTAATATTTACCTCTGGATAAAGTTCGGGTGTGGGGTTTTGTGAGTACAATTATGAATATTCGAACTTATAAAAGATGGAAATACCTTGACTAGCAAGCAACATTTTAAGGCCATCTCTGCTTAGGAATGTCACTTAAGTCACATACGGAATTATCCCAGTGAAAAGTATTGATGAATTGGGTACGTAGAAAATTAAATACACTACTATAAATTATCATCTGATATTTATTTATTTTCCTTGGTGACCGTGTACGAGCTTAAAAGTTTAATATTTCCGTTCACTTTATCCTTCCATTTAAAACAATAAATTGTATTCTTTGTTCTTGCCATGCCTGATGGAACACCATGTGTTTTTTAATAATTGGGTTACTGTTTCCTTTATAATTGCAGAAAATTTCAATAAAATAACAATTTGTATTTCACCTCATTGCTTCATGAACAGGAATCCCACCTGAGGCGTTATTGTATCTGTCGACTAATTTTTCTCAAGAGATATGTGACATATTCAATTAAATGTGACATTTACAGCCACTGTATACACAATAAAGCAACAGTATCAATAAGTTTACGCCTGAAAATTCTGCCCCATACTCTATGGAGTTGCAGTGACATAGAATCTAATGACAGTGATACAGCTGGCGGAAATGCAGTGATCAAGTTGCATTGTATTTCCGTGATCATGAAATGAACCATTGGGGTACTTTGAAGTTAGAACGCTTGATACTGTAACACTAATTTAATAGCAAATCTAATTTAGGTGTTCCCGCTATCCAGCGTTCTTCCGCTCTGCACCATTTTAAGAAAGTATAGTACATCGTGGACCCCACATCTGGTTTCTTATACTTATCTTGCCCTTCGCCTCTCTCTTTAAAGAATATCATAAATTTATGAAAACACAACCGCTAAACGAATCCACACTCAACAGTTATAAAACTAGAGTGTAGAGAAATGTCCAGGGATGACAAAAAATATTTATGAAATGGGCGAGATACGGGGTTCTCAATGCGACCTTGTCTATGAAGATCACTGTCTCTTGTGATGCAACGCCGTAGTCCGGTAAATATCTACCGATGTTTCAGAGGAACGTCAGTAAGCATATACCAAGCCACACGTCGTCACATTGCAGAAGAAGTTGATGTTTGCTAAGCAGATCTGTTTAGCAGAGTCCTTCTCGGAAATCTGGGAGACGTTCTGGAGTGCCCTGTATCTTCTAGTGCTTTAAGGATTACCAAATAAAATTTACGATTTTCATCTCCATTCAGTCATCAATGGCTCTACAGCCCTTCGTTGGGCCCTGGCCTCTTCTTCAGTTTCGTAATCTTTGTTACATAGACGGTAGGACTCCTTGGGCCAGTGATCCGCTCGTCCAAGGCAGCTGCATACACACAGGACAATAGAAACAGAATAAACGAGCACAGACATCCATACCTCGAGTGGGATTCGAACGCACGATCCCAGTGTTCGAGTGAGCGAAGACAGTTCATGCTTAGACGGCGCGGCAACTGTGATCGGCTTCATCTCCAATGCTAACCTAAATTTACGACGTACCCACGTGACCGATGCATCTCATCCTTCATAATTTGGTTCCTCTGAAGTTATTTGGTGCAGGTCACAATGGCCGTGCGGTCTAAGGCATGAATTGTCTTCGATTGCTCGGATCCTGGGATCGTGGGTTCGAATCCCACTCAAAGACATGGATATTTGGTGTGTATGCGTTTATTCTGTGTTTAGGTAGCCGCTTTGCGACGGGCTAATCACTCTCCCAAGGAGTCCTACCGTCTGTGAAAAAAATGATTACGGAACTGAATTAGAGGCCATGCCCTGAATGGGCCGAAAGAGCTATTGAAAAAGAAAGTTATTTGGTGAGCATTCTTCTTGCTTCGGTAGACAAGGCTTGAGCTGATCAGATAGTATAAAGAGATAAAACAGTTCCGTCCAATGTGACTGGTGAAGATTTTTCTTATTTCAATTCTTAATGCCCTTACATGTTTCGGTCCTTAGAGACCATCATCAGAGGGACATCGATACGGTTTGGAAATCACTATTACATTAGGTGTTCTGAGTGTTAAAATATATTGTCAGCATTGCATATATTTTAACACTCAGAACACCTACGGTAATAGTGGTTTCCAAACTGTATCGATGTCCCTCTGATGATGGTCTCTAAGGACCGAAACATGTAAGGGCATTAAGAATTGAAATAAGAAAAATCTTCACCAGTCTCACAGGACGGAACTATTTTATCTTTTCTAGTATTGTTAGTGTGACGGACCAGAATGAAACAAATAAAATTGATCAAATAGCATTATTAATGAATAATAAATCGAATATTACTGAAAAAGAAGTGAGACTAGCCTGATTTAATTTAGTGCCCTGGTATTTGCTTGGAGGGACTGAAAAAACACGAAAAGGAGTTCAAGATAACCGGTCTGTGGGACGAAAGTCGAAGCTGAGGCTTCCTGAATACGAAATAGGAGTCCTAACCCCTTGCACCGGGACGTCCACAGCATATCTGATGAAGGGTGAAAATTATGGAGTTTCACCTCCCCGTGTTACTTCCGCTCTCTTATGTTAAAATATTCTCATCAGCAACTTGGCCTCATGCATCCTCAATCCCGTAGGATGACGGACAAAATTTCGCAATCATATAACGCTACGTATCCTTGAATGGTCAGGTAGAAGACGAAAGATAAGAAATCTTAACTGAACGTTTCCGAACCCAAGAAGCATATGTCGCATTAATTTTCCCAAACAAATATAGTGTCTGCTGCATTCTGCTCTTCCATCTCTACGGAGGCACTTAGACCATTTTTACTGTCTTCTACAGGCCACTCTGAAGGTTCGGCCACACAGAGCGCTACGCTATGTTCGCTACGTACGCTGTGTACACTCTGCGACACAGCTAACATAGGGAACATAGCGTACGTAGTGTACGGAAGTCTGTGTGGCCAGTCACATTGGCAATAAAGGGAGATGTTTTTCTGTTCGTATAGCGAACATAGCGTACGTAGCGTGCGTCGCGTACGTAGCGCTCTGTGTGGCCGAACCTTAAGACTTTCATAACAGAAATTAATGGAAAGTGTGTCTAAAGAGACAAATCTTCTGGCTTGGTATCAGGAATCACGACCTTCATGCCGATGATACTGACTTGTATTTACATGGTTCTCCTTAGTTACTCCAGGCAAATATTGGCATTTTTCTTTTTCTTTTTTTTTTTCATTTCATGCATCCTGTTGTATTATGTATACTCCTATTAAGTCCGTTTCAGCATAAAAATAGAGAGTTCAAGGCTAAATTAACTAAATCTCACTTTATGCGAAATTTTTAAAATAATGAGAATCCCCCAAAATTCGTCAGGAATCACGTATTTGTTTCAAAATTTGTCTTGAATTTTGCGAGGTATTCAGGATTTATCCTCGTATAATATTCTACTGCACTGTATTTTAATGTTATCCTTCCAACATAGCAAGTTCTTCCAATTGTCCTTTTAGATTTTCTGAGCAAAATTTGTTATGTATGCTACAGTTCACGCTCACCTCACTTTCCTTAAATAAATCGCCCAGATAACATCCGATAAAGAACAAATTGCATGGATCTCCTCACAACGCGGGTTTCTCTTTCCTTCCATCACTTCCTCGCTCTTACGTAATGAATGTCATCATCGTCATTCTAACCTCAAACTCACTCAGTGCAGGAAAAACATTTTTAAAAATTAAATTTGAAATTTCATTTCTAGTTCAACATGTAAAACTGTTTCCATTTTGTTGTACTGTCCTTCCGTAATTCCCCAGCGCAGTCCCCTGCTGTTCACGCTAATTGAGTTGCAGGGCGGATGCGTCCACTGGAGATCCTCGTACCTGGCATCTGCCACTTCATTCGATGTGGCGTCCCTGTCACTCTCTTGCCCTCAGACAAGAAGGAAAACACGAGTATGGCTCCCTTTACTGTAAAATCCAAGTCTTAATACATAAATTTACGTAAACAAATAAATGACTAGAACCTGGATATGTTATTCGGTGACCAGGTGCGGGCTGGAAGACCGGGGATTGATTATCGGAAGGAAAATAAACTGTTCTCATCATCACTGCCTTCTGACCAGATGAAGGTCATTCAATTTATTATTCGAAAGGCATAAGGGATACTTTGTCCGTCATAAAGTGGCTAGAGCATAAAGCACTTCAATTTAATAAGCCTGTCGAAGTTCAGAATGAAAGTAGCTTTACCCCAACGATCTGCAGACGACTTCACAGCGTGGGTTCTTAAACACAGTCACAACTCTCTTATTAACTACCTGAACAATTCAAGACCAGTCTTGAGGAATTGATGGTTACTTAACAGGCCAAGATACCAACCCTCGACCTTCATGGAATTCGAAGATTCCTTAGCGTGTAGATATACGTCCGTCACTGATCCCTATCCTAAGATATTTAAATTTAGTCGTCTCATTAAGATCTTATTTCTCAAATATCATTTCTTATATTTTCCTTCTATCTACAACTAAGTCTCTCCTATAGCTTCCAATTTGAAAGTTCACTTTCAAAATTCTATACGTATTTTTCGTTTCCTCCACGTGTATTACTTGACCCGCCTATGTTATTTTTCATAATTTATTTGCTCTTACAATAACGTACGTATTTCATATTTTAACGCAGTAAACTTGTCGATCACGTATTTAGCTTCTTTCTAAAGCTGACTTTTTATAGCATCTTATTTAACTTCTAGTGGGTCATGCACTCTCAGAACAATGCGGCACCAGCGACCCTTTTGGATTATATAGGACATCCTATCACTAACAATTCTGCCATCTTAATTGATGTTTGATTTCCTGTACACGAAAATAATGCGACGATTTCAATCTCATTTTCGTAGAGTAATGCATATCACTGCTGGTCACTGTAGCAGAGAGGTCTAAGCCATGCACATTCTTCGCTCGCTCGCTCGCTCGCTCGGAAGCCATGATCTTGGGTTCGAATCCCATTCAGGGCATGGATGTTTAGTGTTTATGTCACTTTTCCTGTGTTTTTATACAGGTAGAGACTTTGCGACGAGCTGATCACCCGTCCAAGGAGTCCCACCGAATGTCTAAGATCAAGTAAACCGAAGTGAAACGGAGAGTTTCATGGAGGTAGACCAAGGCACAAATTTGGGCTGCAGCGCCAAAGGAAAAAAAATGCAAATCACCTACAAGCTCCTTGTTTCATCTGATCTTCTGGATTCTCATCAGGTCTAAATTAATGTTTACTGCTTCGCCTGCTACTGATTTCAGTAAGCCAGCATTACCAGAATATAAAATCCATGCCTTTCACATTTACCTTCGCTTGACCCGTGAGGAAGACTCCCTTTAGGACCACTGTTACCCTTCGTCGTAACATGCTGCATCTGTCTACCTGGAGAATACGGCCGGCCATTTCAGTATGTATGTATTGTATGTATTATGAGAGGGCGTGGGTTTCCCCATGCACGTAGACCAGTTATTGGTCCATTGTGCGTCCCCCTTTTTAATTTCTACTGTCGCCATACCCTACCGGTAACGGTGCGTGCCATCAGCCCCCGTAGAGCCAACGCGGTCGGCCCCCGGTACCTTGATGCTTCCCCCATCCACCAGAGGCATTGGAGACTACTTGGGCGGGAAAGGGCCTGTAATTTAGCTCAGAGGTCTCCTAGAGACATGAGGTTCTTTTACGTGCCGTAAATCTACGACACGGGACACGGCTTAAAGTCCCTCCCGGAGGACTTGTTCCCTGAATTTTTCCGCCCTTAAAAATTCCAGGACCTCCGCCGGGTTTGAACCCGCGTACCTTGAGTCATGAGGTGGGAACGTTACCCCTAGACTACGGAGGCCGCTGGCCATTTCAGTAATCGACATCTGCTTACGTAGCACAATCCTCCTGCAGCGGTGACAAGAGACGAACCGACATGAATACCGCCTGCGTGAGATCGGAGTTTCTCACTGCGGTGGTTGTGAAAATGTCCTCTCAGTTATAACGTGGTCTAGTTTGGTATATCGTTTCGGAGTAAACTTCTACCCTTCTTCGAAATAGAATGTTATGCATTCAAGACGAGGACAAAAAGTTCCTCTGAATATCTGGCACATATCTACTAACACGTCATATCCCAGAGGACAGTGAACTTCATGGAATCTGCCTGGCCACTTTTATATCGGTTCGGCCGCGCCATAGCTCAAGCGGTTAGACGCTGGCTTTCCATTGCGGCGGCCCGGGTTCGATCCCGGGTCTGGTCAAGTGGGATTTATGGCGGACAAAGTGGCGCTGGGGCGGGTTTTCTCCGAGTAGTTCGGTTTCCCCTGCCAATCTTCATTCCACCAAATTATCCATCATTATAATCACCCGGGACAGGTACAATAGGCCAATCAGTGGCCGCCGTGACGAGTGGACCCAGTTGGACTCCACCACCCACTAAGCAAATAAAAAAATTAATTAAAAAAATTATACGGTTCAGTCGCAGGATGACATTCAGTTGTCTGTCTGCCTTCTGTTGCAGTTTAGTCATCCCGTGTCTTCTATCTTGCACTGTATGTAAAAATTACGTATCGCGTTTGGATACGTCATTTCCTAATTAAAATACATTAAATAACATCCCACTGTTTTCCTTATGGTCGCCGTCCATTCGTTTAAGAGCTAGGCTACACCAAGGAAACTGGAAACCGCAACGCAACCTCAATTTCCGATAACTGTTTTGAGCTTGAGTTGAACACATGTTACAGAATGGAGCAGCACAAATTGAGGGAACGACAACGCAGTTTCCTCAATTTGCGCTGCTCCATTCAGTAACATGTGTTCAACTGAAGCTGATAGCAATTCTCGAAAATTGCGGTTGCCTTGCGGTTGTCAGTTCCCTTGGTATCCCCTCGCACTGAAAGATATTTTCTTGTGTATCACTTGTTTTGGGTTTATTCGCACAGCATTCCATTTGCGGCGTGGGTATTATCTGTGACGTGTTTAGGAAAGATGTGAAATGTATAAGGAACTTTGACAGCAAATCTTCTTGAAAACCAGCCATCTATACTCCATTCGCGGAGGCGAGACAGCGTAAATAAAGAAAGCCCCGCGTCGCCACAGCTGACAGCAAGGAGTGGACAAAGCCCGCAGTTACTTCAGTGTACTCACTGCATTCGGACGCACGTTAACCTGCATTCAGACTGAAGAGTGAACTTTGGACGCCCCTGCAACGGGACACGCATCACGTGATCGCTGCATGATTGCATTCATAGAGCGAAGGAGATACCGCGTGCATTTGTTTACGAGGACTCTCTCGTCTCCGCGAATGGACTATAGAAGACGGAGAAACAGAAGACTTATCTTATGGTGGTGAATTGTGAGAATATAAAGTGGATCCAGTTGGCTCAGGATTAAGTCCAATCGCGGGATTTTATATTACAAGATTTACACCTTTGGATTTTACAAGTGAAGGATTGGTTCGGGTGGTTGGAGTCTGTTTTAATGGCTACTTATGACGCAAGTGGCGCTGAGCTCTGTCACAGTGGAGAAATGTGTGATCTCTGGGACTCTGATTGCTGTTGCAGGTCCTGATAACGAAGCTACGGGCAACAAACAACGCCGAGACCCAGCAGTACCGCAAAGCCACCAAGGCACTACTGGTCCTCATTCCTCTGCTGGGCATTACTTATATTCTCGTCATTACTGGTCCCGCAGAGGGCATACCTGCTGCTATCTATGACTACGTCACAGCAGTACTTCTGTCAACACAGGTAATTGAAGTGTTTTGTCCGTTTAACTACACTTGTTCATATGCATATGTAATATGTGGTCGAATGGGGGAATGGTTTTAAATCACAAAGTAAGTGAAAGTTGTCGTATCGTAGACAATGGTTGAAGGATAGGAAGAATACGACAGACCTGTAAGAACTTCAGTCTTTCGAACTTAAATTCTAACCCTGGGTCACGAGAGTTATATCCAGCGTTAATTTAAATGTCTAGAAGCAAAATTAAATATGAAAAAGAAGAGCGTGTACAAGGCGGGACTTTGTGTCTTAGATCAGGTTAGCTGTATTTTTAGTGAGGTCAATCGGCAGGAAATTTGGAAACACATTCGACCTTTAAAATTTTTGCGTCGACATATTGTGGTAAGTGGAAGGCTTTACTCTGCTGCATATACGTAGTATTAGTGGTATTAGTAGTGTTGTACAAAATTTTCTCTTCTTGCTATTCTTTTCTTCGTCTCTGTATTGTATTCCCAGGAGACCGCGTAAGCTGTAATGCCCTAGTTATATACATCGCCACTATTTGGGCTGTAGGTAATCAATAAGAGCTCAATACGTAAAACATCTTGTTTGATGTTTACGAAATCCTGGCGACAAGATAAAATTATAAAGAATCGTTTCGTGGGAGGGTTACCTTAGTTTTGTTATAGATGAGGATAAATCAGATTCCTTTCAGTGTGGGTACTAATTTTTGTATAAAGTAAGAAGTTAAAGTATTACTTTAAAGTTAACATTATCTGTGGCCGTTATAGAAAACAGATATTGAAAATGGTTTAATATACATGTAATTAAGTGTATAAGGATTTAGCAGAGGTTTATTGAAGATGTATTACATAAAATAAGCAATTTAATTATTTCAATACACTTTGCTGTAGGAAAAAATCCAGCTAAAGTTCGGGTGATTTTGTTAATAATTAGTATATTTATGGCCTCCACAGGGTTTCACGATAGCGCTTTTCTACTGTTTCCTGAATACGGAAGTGCAGAATACCGTACGCCACCACTTTGAGCGCTGGAAGACAGCCCGTAGTTTAGGAGGAAATCGACGTTACAACTACAGCAGCAAGGATTGGTCCCCGCGCTCCAGAACAGAAAGTATTCGGTAAGCTGTCAGCACTGACACAAAAGCTTAACAGTTTATCGCTCCATAAAATTGAATCTTTTCTTACTAAAATAATAAAGCGGCCTCCGTAGTCTAGGGGTAACGTTCCCACCTCATGACTCAAGGTACGCGGGTTCAAACCCGGCGGAGGTCGTGGAATTTTTAAGGGCGGAAAAATTCAAGGAACAAGTCCTCTGGGAGAGACTTTAAGCGGTGGGTCCCGTGTCGTAGATTTACGGCACGTAAAAGATCCTCATGTCTCTAGGAGACCTCTGAGCTAAATTAGGTAAAAAAGTTTCCCGCCCAAGTAGTTTCCAATGCCTCCGGTAAATAGGGAAGCATCGGGTACCGCAGCCAGCATCGCTGGCTGAACGGGGCTGATAGCAAGCACCAGTACCGGCAGGGTATGGAGACTGGTAGAATATCAAAGGGGGACGTACAATAGACTATTAGTCGCGGTGCATGGGGAAACCCACCCACTCCAATAATAATAATAATAATAAATACTAAAATAATAAGAAAACATACAATGCTAATGCATTTGTTGAAGTCCAAAAGAAAATTTAGTAAGTTAAGAAATATAAGTAGTATCATTTTGATATAAATATTCAACTGTTCCCTCATGTATTCAGGTTTTCTCAGAGATTTATTAAGATTTATTCACCTAACAATGAAAATATCCGTACATGATTTGTTTCAAATACAGTTAAAATTTTTTCATGTTTCCACTCTTATATAGATGCGTTGTTCAGTATAACGTAATCGAATTTAACGTAGATAGGAGAAACATATAGTGCCCTGCTTATCATTTCCATGGCCCCTGAATGTGCTTATCGCTTATCATGTTTAATACATGCTATAGTTGCTATATGTAAAGTTGCTAGAATTCATTCCTCTTGTCTCATGGATTGTGAAATATAAAATAGCATCTCTTTTTTTATTCACCGTTAACTGAACCGCGAGACAGTTCTAATAATGTCGTTGTTTCTGGTAGTTGCTGTCATATAACTTTCACCCATGTACGTTGTTATATTATTTTAATTAGTCCTAAGTACAGGGCCATATAGAGAGATCACTTAATATTCACAATTTTCTTCTAAATTTTATATTACATATTTGCTTCCCAAGGACCTGTAGGACCCATGGCGAATATTTTGGAAGCTCACATGGCACAGTTTAAGATTTGGAGCGATCATATAAATGCAAATTGTGCTGAAGAGGAAAAAATTTACTCAAATGGCAGGTTTTTTAAATATCTGAACTAGATGCATATAAAATATCTTTAATTTTTAAATAAAGGATCCCTTATTAATAAGACTGACAAGTTACTTAAGGAAGTAAAGAGTAAGGTTATTATTAAATCACATTTTATTTTCTCAACATCGAAATAATCCACACACACACAGTTCTATAAATATGTGAACTTATTTCATTTATAAAAATATATCGCATGTAAGTCCTTCAATGTTTCCGCGTCACATTAATGTTTCTGAATTCACTGTTCTGACTCCACTCGTGATAGTGGCAACACTGCTGGTATCCGCCAGTGTCGGATTTGGGAATTGTTGGATTGTAGAACGAATATGGAAACAAACGTTTCGAAATTACTGACAGAGCCTTCAGGTATTTACACATCAGGGAATAAAGTAGAGATATGAAATATAATTTGTTTTTCTGGGAAATTTCGTTAGTTGTAACAATCACGTAACAGTTTTGTTGCAGCTAATAATACTAACTTTCCCTACATACATTGCACGCTAAAGTTGCACTTAGTTTTAACTACACAATTAAACCTCTGTTTCTGTAGGGCTAACAGCATAACCAAACATCGAATTATCCAATTCTCATGACCGTCTTGAACAGGCAAGTGCATAATTATAACCGCGCATGACAAAAACTGAGCTATTAAAGAAATTCACCGTCTTCTACAAACCAGAACTTCATTATTGTTTTCACAAGAGTCTGCCACTGAACTTTACCCTGGGCCCTGTGCATCCAAATGACGCCTTCACACTCTACTTAAGATCTGATTGAATAATATCCTTACATCCACTCTTAGGTCTCCCAAGTGGTTCCTTTCATTCAGGTTGCCTGCCTAAAATGTTGCATACATTTCTAATCTCCCCAACCTGCTACATGTCTTGCCCATTTCATCCACCTTTAGTCCTCAGTAGTCTTTGGTATATTCTGTTTTAGTAATTTTCTGCTAAAGACGTACGTTTCTAATATGTTGTGTAATTCTTTTCTGTATTAAAATTTATGTTTACAAACTGAGTTTTTTTAAGTAAGTGTAGAAAAATTTTCCATGAAATAATCTAATGCTATATTATAATTTATACATAACTTCAATTACGCTTTCCAGTAAAATGCTCACACTATTTCTACGAGAATTATATACTTGATTCCATAAGTACTTCATGCCGGTCACGGTAGCCGAGCGGTCTAAGGCATGTACTGTCTTCACTCGCTCGGAAGCCGGGATCGTGGGTTCGAATCCCACTCAAGGCATGGATGTTAGTGTGCGTTTTTCTGTGTTTGTCTACAGGTAGAGGCCTTGTGACGAGCTGATCACTCGCCCAAGGAGTCCTACCGCATGTGTAAGATCTAGTAAACCGAAGTGAAACGGAGAGTTTCATGGAGCTAGGCCTAGGCCCAAATTGGGGCTGTAGAGCCACAGAAAAAAAATAAGTACTTCATTGCACATTTGCATAACTTTACGTACATCGGCCCAAAAGCGGTGTAGCTACAGTTTATCATAGTCAACCCAATTTAGTGTAATTCAACTCTGATCATCTTGACTTCTTAATTTTATATCTACATTTCTTAAAAGAAAAAATTGTGATCCTTCAGAACATTTTTCTTATTTTTTATTGTTTATCTAGCATATACCATTTTAAAATTAGCAACAGCTAAATTCGAATTATTGTAGTTACCGTATTTACGCATGTATAGGCCGCGTGCGTGTACAGGCCGCAGCACAATTTTCAGACAGAAATTATAGAAAAAAATAATTTTCTTGGAATATTATTTCAGGAGTAGAACACCCTGTATTACTAATTACGAATATATTTTTTTTAAATGAAGTGTGATTTCGAATATTTCGAATATAAGCCGCACCCCAGTTTTCCTCTTGAATTTTTGGCAAAAAATGTGTAGCCTATACATGCGTAAATACGGTATATTCAGCGATAATTGTTTCTGAAGAATATATTCATATCTGGACCTAAACATCAGTACACTATATTCGTAAGTGATTATGGAAAAATTATTAGGACAGAAGCCCAGAAATCTATTTAGAAATGCTAAAGTATTTTCCATCCAGCTTTTTAATTTTGAAGTTTCATACACCAAATCTTATTCTGTGACATTCGGTATACTGCGAAAGTAATTCGGTAGTCCATAGTGAGTTACAGATTGATAATTACTGCATTCGACACATTAATTTCAGTGTAGTACAGCATACACAATGTTAAATAATTCGTAATTGTACATGCTCGTAATTTCATAATTGAGTGTCTGATCTAGTTCATTATCCATGAAATTAATGAAGTGCGAAATATTACGAACTACAATTATTCTACACTTCTCCATCCGTCAGTAAAAGTGTCGTGCAGTGCTAAATAATTACTGTTTCACTGCTTCCTTGATGGCTTAGTTGCATGAGGTGAATAATTTTGCGACTGCTACATATTTCCTTGTGTGCTGTTTCTTTGAGCTGCATGATCAACTTCAACGGGTAACATGTCTGCTTGTCTTAGCGTATGTACTCTTTTGTGATCTTATTTCATGACCTACATGTTGTAGACTTCATATTTTGTTTCAGACTAGAACAGTCCTGAATCCAGATGAATACCATTCAAGAATTCCGTATTTTATTTCATTGTGTCAGTGATTCGTCTCAGTGCCACACTGTTAATTCTATTGGGGGGGGGGGAGAATTACACATATTACCTTTAACAGCAACCAAATATAGGATTACCGAAAAAATTTTAACTTCAGAAAACAGAAATACTTCATTATAAGCACACTCACCCGAGGAAAACTACGACATAGATGCTGGTAAGGCCGCGCCATAGCTCAAGCGGTTAGTTGCTGGCTTTCCACCGCGGCGGCCCGGGTTCGATCCCGGGGTCTGGTCAAGTGGGATTTGTGGTGGACAAAGTGGCGCTGGGGCAGGTTTTCTCCGAGTACTTCGGTTTCCCCTGCCAATCTTCATTCCACCAATTGCTCCACAATCACCCTCACCTATCATCTGGGGCTGGTACAATAGGCCAGAAGTGACCGCAGTACAAGGGACTTAGCCCCACCCCACAAACAATAAAAAAATGTAAATAGTTATGTAGACCGTTATCACTAGTTCAGCCGCTCCGTAGTTATCCATGCATCAGCAAGGATGAAATTTGAGCTTGAAGAAGAAAATCTTTCCATGGAACTGGGAAACATATGGGCTTCTGGACCAGATACACTGCAACGCAGAGAAATTTTGCAGAAAACAGGACACTGCTAACTACCCAACGATTGCTTTGTCGGAGCATGTGATATAATTGTCACTGTGCGTTGCTGCAATGTAATCACATGCACCGTTTTTTAAATTACACAAGGGCGCCTGTATTTCAAGGGATTTTTATATAATAACTGTATCAGCCCTTATCCAAGCATTCAGAAACTGCCCTGCAGGTAGCTTCATTATTCTTTGCGGCATTTAATCTCCTTCAAAGGTAGCGAGAAATCCGCCCCCCCCCCACCGAAGCGCTGTGACTCCTCATTTAATAGCTAATCCATAAAGTACCTTTCATTTGTCTTCATAATTCTCTCTGCCTAAAACCTAAAAGTTTTCTAATCATTTAATCCAATTCTTATCCTATCTTCGTTTCCAGCGAAATGTAAGCTTATGATATCATCACATCAGTGTATATTTGTTCTCTTCCAAACCATTTTTAAACTCCATAAAATTATACTTTTAATTCCCTAACCTAGTGCTTAAATTATTCTATTCTATT